ACAACAGCATGAGGCAACAGAAAGGTTGTTTATTTTGAGTCGGCCTGGTGTATAACATAAAGTGGTATTAGAATGGGGCCCATTGTTGTGGGTTTGTGATCCGTCACTCCGTGTGGTAACAAAGGGAGAGAAGGAAGGAGACCGGTTTTATTCCCATGAGCTCTCTGTCATTTTTTCTGTTGTGCTGACTTCTGTCAGAGGAGAGAAGGCTCTTCAGGGAAGTAAAACTTCTTACACACACTCTGACAGGCCGACTGTTTACTCTAAGCACAGAGATCCATCTCCCTCCATCACTGCCTGTGTCTGCCCTTCCTGAACTGCTCCTCCTAATGGTGTCATAATGACCTCCTCAGGTGTTAACTGAGAAGCTGGCAGAGGGCTAATTCTGAGGAAAGTACTGTATGGCATAACGGGTGCCGGCGGTAGTGACAGATGCAAGTGCTGTAACTACCAGCCCCGCTCTCTTCTACTCTGATACAGCCCCCGTCCACCCCCTATTTTTGTCAAATATCTTTCTTTTCATCAACTCTTAATCCACCTCACTCATACCCTGCAACCATTTTTGTCTGTGAAGGTGTCTGTTTCCTCCTCCCAGCTCACAGCAGAAGCTAAAGCAGCAGCGTTTAAGCGTTTTGGGGAATGGAGACGTGATTGCAGTCAGTGAATCAGGGCAGACAGCTGTCATTTATGGTTCGTCTTCGTAGAGATCCCATTAACTCCCCAACAAAATGTTTCACAACTGGTATGGGGGCCCCTGGTGCTTTAAGTAAACTATGAAGGCCTGTCTCCATGAATTTCATTAAAGGACCTGTTTAACCTTATAATTTCATCAGTGTTGTTTGTCTCAGGACAGTAATAGCACCACACCTTGTGTGCAAGTAGTACAGAAATTTAATAATTAATAATAAAACAATTAGTGTTCAGCTGATTTCCATTAAAGTGGCCATCAAGGCCAGGGTATAAATGCTGCCTCTGCTGCAGCTGTATGTGCACACAGGATTCACTGGGAGGGTTCTACAGACATATACATCACTACTGTATCATTGGAAATGAAGGGGGTATGATCAATATTTTTTTTTATTATATTTTTTTTTATGAGGACTTGATTGCCAACCACCTTGTTCTGAAAGAAGGACTAGACCAACAGTCTCACAGGGACACTTTCCTCAGCACTACTACTACTACTACCCAGCTTAGGTTAAACCATTATTGTTGTTAATATTATGAAATTATTTTTTGATGTCATATTTTGTTGTCTTTTCTTTAAATATTCAGTGCTTAGTAAATGCTAAGTGGCTTGCATGTATTTCATCGTAGGTTGTATTGTTAAAATATATATAGAATATAATAGAAAAATTAAACTAAATATTAAGTATTAATAATCTTTATACCCTATTTGATAATTATCTTCTAAACAACTTGTTGGGCACTTTAAAGCAACCTTAAATTTTGGCCATCTGGTCATCACTACAGCAGCATTATACCAAAATGATAACAGAGAGACAGCAGTGAGTGTATGTGGAAAAAGCAAATATGAGAGAGAGAGAGAGAGAGAGAAAGACAGAGAGAGAGAGAGAGAAAAGAGAGAGAAAGAGGAGAGAGAGAGGGTGAGGGTTAGGGTGAGGGTGATGTGAGAGAGAGAGAGAGAAAGAGAGAGGGTGAGAGAGAGCTTTCTAATTCAGCCATCTGGCTAGCTTTACTTCATTATAATATTCTGTGTTTGTGTGTGTCTGTACAAATTTGTGAGCGCCTTCCATTCCACAGATGCAGGCAGAGCAGAAAAGAATCCTCATTTATTAACAGCTTAATAGAGCTCCATCTGGGCCAGACCCTTTGCTTGTGTTCTATCAGGGAAATTCATCAGTGAATCACAGGAATTAGGCAACAACAGAAACCTACACAGGCTGTGTTGACCCTGCTGCACCCAGCAGTACCACACACACAGCCCACTCCATGTTACAGCTCTAAAACAGCCATTATATGCTGTTTAAAGTAAAACACAGTATTCTGTCACCATGCAGTGCCCTGTTTTCCCAGACTTGGTTTGTACTTTGCTTGATAAAGTAGAAAGACAAACTAGAATACTAGAAATATTGACATGGTACTAGTCAAGAGGTAAAGAGTCACAGATCAGATTACAATCTCCAAACTACATAGAGCAGTGATACCCAACCTTGTTTGGCTTGTGACCCCATTTTGACATCAGAAATCTTTTAATTTGGTTTGTCTTACTGTGTTACAGAGTAGGCAGATTAGTACACAAAGTGATATTTCTATCGCTGCATTTTATTTGAACTTGATTTATATTTATGGAAGTGAAAGAGTACAGTTGTTCATGATTGTGTGTGCTGGGTTTAATCATAATTTAAAAATGATTAATAATTAGTTTATATCACAACTTATTTGGGTTTCTTTAAAATATATCAGAAGAAAGTTATTAGAAATGTTTTTGGGTTTTTGCAAAAGTGCTTTTAGCTGCAATGATATGCACACTATGTCCATCCTATATGTTGGGATGTGCTTCAACATTTTTCCTCAGCTGCTAAACAATGGCAAAATATGAGGGGAGAAAAATCTATTTGTTAATAAACTAACAATGAGGTGTAGTGAATGGTTCACTGTGTTCATGCTCACCAAAATTTGGTCCCCATCTCTTTGCTAAGCTTAGAGGCCATCACAGCAACATCTTCCATCTCCCCTCTTTGTATCTGTCCCTCCATTCAGACAAGGCTGAAGTGCAAATTGGACATCTGGTGCTGTGATGTGTCTGACAATACAGCCTCCACCCTCTAGCCCCCTCACACATGTACAGAGACACACACAAGTGCACACACATGTACACACACACAGTCCTCCACACAAATATAGAACCAGGAGGACATAAAGACATTGAGAAGAAGACAGAAGGAGGGAGAGGTGGACAGCGATATGGAAGGAAGAGGGCGGGAGAGACAGGAATGCAAGTGAAGATTGAGGGCAACAATGATGCCATTCTATTCATACACTGCCAGGGGCAAACACATGCATCCATGTCCTTGTGCCATGTCCCTCAAAGCTCTCAGGCAGAATTGCAGCTAGTTCTGAGAGCGTCTCAGGTGGCAGGTTGATAGAAGGCAGTGGGTTGTGATGTGGAGCCGTTGTCTGTGTGTAACAAGCCTGTCTGCACAGAAGCTTATTTTACCTTTACCCCCATGACATCCAACTAAATCTGAGGGACAGGGAACAGACTAGATGTACTCAAAAAAAATGTCATTCAGAGGGACATTCAAACTTATAAAAATGCATGTGTTCGACGCACAAATATTCATGCACAGACACACACCTAAACTCAGAGGCTGACTAAGCAGCATAACCTAATTTTACATCCAAAGGCATACAAATTCGGAAGATGTTTCTATTTATACGGGAGCATATTTCTTAGCAGAGTAAACAATGCATCTGGGCTTGTGTTGCTGTGTGAGAGAGGTACAGTATTTATTGTATTGAATCATCTGCGGCCTAAAAACAACAGACATGGACCAGGCTTGTTCAGGTGGTTTTCTCCTCCAAAAGTGCCTCCAGCAGCCCTGGCCATAAAGCATTTGTTCTCTTTAACAAGCTCATAACAACACTGATTGACACCCTTTTCCCTTTGTCTTGCCTAAGTAAGATACTTCTGTCATTTTTCTAATCACAGGATGAATATAATTTGCATACATCCTGTTTGATGATTATTTGTTTGCCCCTCTCTCTTGCAGCATGAGTTCTGTTAGTTAAAATGTCTGCGTGTTCTTTCCGAGTATCTGTTTTTTGGCGCCTACCAAATGTTTGTTTCTCCGTTCTTGTTAGATGTAGGTAGATTGTGCTTTTACAAGCAAAAGGAAACCTACAGGGGGGCTTCACAGGATTCAGGTTATCAAAGGAGAATGCAGGTGTGCACCTGCATTAGAAATAGTAATAATAATAATAATAATAATAATAATAACAAAAGACACACACAAGTAATCCCACAAACAGGTCTATCAATGTGCTTTGAACTTCAAAGAATGTACACAATTAAAACCAACAAAACAAGGAATGGAAGTAATGAAACTCAGGAGTACAAAAGAACATTTGTCTCATTATTTTAGTGCATATGAATGCACTCAAACTGTGTGGTGAACTCCAGAAGACAAAGTTGGGTTTATGGTTAAACCGGCATTGAACTTTCCTAAGTAAATCATTAAAGAAAAACCCTATATTTCCAACTGTAAATAATGATGTAGGTCATCACTCAGTTTGTCACAGTTACACAGGTCAAGGTCGCTGTCTTAGAGAAACTGTCGTTTCTCTAAGACAGCGACTGTTGCTTCCATGCATACAAGTTCCATATCAACAGATCAATACAACAGGCCTCATGTAGTTGGTGCTCCAAAACTGCGTTTTTCCCGCCTAATTTCACACACAATTCTCCATATGGAAAACTCTACCCATTTCAGTACTGAGCTGAAAGGGTAATGCAGGAGAAGACATTGAATTTTACCCACTCCATTCTTCAGCCTTAGTTGACCGTGATGTAAAAAGGTTTCCACCTCTCAAAATTTCACATTAACCATGTTTCTAATATTTTTACAGAAAAAAAATCTATGCAGATGATAATTAAATATAATTTTCAAATATTAATATTTGGGCTGACAGTGGAGCTGTCCGTGGTGCTGATTAAACCTTGAATATTAACAGATATTTAGCGGATAAAATAAGGAACAGAAAAATACCAATTACACATTTTTCTTTACTGGGCACTTTTAATTTACCTTTTTTTTTTAAAACTTTGGCACTTATAGTCTGCAAAAGTACACTAAAAAAAACTTGGTTTGGTGGGTGTAAACAGTTTTATGTGAATACCAAGATCAATAATGGAACATGTTGGCTATCATTTGTGAGTATGGCTATAGACTGCATTTTCTACAATCTCAGTACCTTGAAACTAAACCGATGACTTGATGCTGTGTTAACTGGGAAATATCAAATAGCACATTTACCTCTCCCAGAGCTTCATAGCGTTTCTGGTTCCAGCGGTGGAGATCCTCTCTGGCATTGAAGACAAAAGGTTCTCCTGTATTGATATGTCTTAGCTGGCCATCTGTAATGAAATAACAAAAAAAAATGAAAAAATTAAAAACAAAATGCAGTATGTGTATAAACACCTGTGTCCACAATACATATGATTGTGCCATCTAGTTACTGCGTGCAATAAAGGTAAAGCAATAAACTAAATGCTTCTGTGTAGTTACACACACAGATTATGGGCTAATTGTATTAAAAGAACTGCAAGAATATAGTTATTGACTACTCTGGCTTGAAAAACAGATTTTTGTTTGTAAACCATGTTTGCTTTTCCCTGTCTTTAAGAAGCATTCCATGTTGCATTGCACTAGTTATAATATTTGATGATGTTTAGACACATTATGCACAGTTTAGCAGCTTTGATGATTACCCACTGAATCTGACAACTAACTGACGAGAATATAGATCTGTAATTACAGAGCTAAAAGCGGAAATGAACCAACTTCATCTTAGCTCAGATTCCCCAACAGCCTTTTTATAGCAGGTGCAAGGCTTGTGGACGAGGCAGAAATTCTTTCAGTCACGACTCCTCGGCCTGCTGGTTAGTCTGGCATGCAGAGACTGGGCAGCTGGTGCGGCAAAACAATCTCCCCAAAACATTTTTTTACCCATCTAAAAGCCTTTTTCCTTTGTCTCTAATTGTGTCCATCTCGTTCTCCCTCTTTATCCCCACTTACCCTCGGCACCAGACCAAGGGTCAACTCCCATGTTTTCACCTGAAGTGTCCAGAAGCAGAAGCATATGGGTGTTTATGTGTGTGGCACATGTCTATGTGTGAGACAGAAAGGTGGGCTGGCATGCTGTAACCCTGCAACAACAACAACTGCTCCTTACAGCTGCTGGGTATCAGCCAGTCTTCCTAACTAGCTTAGCCTACACCACAGTGACAAACTGCCAGCTTGGCCAGAACAGACCAGGAGTGGACATATAATAGGTGGACATACAGTACAGTAGGTGGCACCAGATTGTTCTAAACAGTTCCATATAAGACTTACAGAATCAGAACACATTTTTACACGCCTCTTAAGTAATTAATTGTAATTTAAGGACACTACAGGAGTTCTTTACACATCTTGGACACAAAAATACTGCTCTCTTGTTCCTAATATACTGTTACCCCTGTATGGGTGTGTAGCCACTACCTTATGGCAATGAGTCCATCGATCCTGCCAATGACACGACAACACAATATAACACCAAACAGCGTTTCATTTTGACCTTTATGACTGCAGGATTTTGCTATAGTAAACCACTGTAAAGTACACATACTTAACCCAAATAGCCAGAGGACTCTCATACTTTCTCAATTATTGCACAGTGTGAGAAAACTCCATCCAATATTTAAATAAATGTAATATCTTTGCAGGATAAAAACAACACGGGGTACTATTTTTTTCATCTGCCTCTAAATTGCTACCACGTTCAAACCATCTATCAGTTTGATAAATCCCACGCTGCTAAAGGACTGTGTATTACAGCACCTGCTTTAAAGCGTTGTTGTTATACAACGTGTAATTTTAGAAGGTGAGTTTGACATTGTGTTTGTTTAAAAAAAGTCTACTCTTGCCTGAGAGGTAGCAAGTGAGACGTTAGGATGAAGCAGAATGTAGAAAAGTGCGTTGAAGAAAATCAATTATGCATTCGCACAAGGGTGAGGATCTAAACACTGGTGCCTTAGAGGAGGAAGACAAGAGCTGTAATGAAATCCTACTGTAGAAAAAAAAGAGTGTGCATATGTGCGTGTATGTGTGTGTGGTGGGAGGGTGTGTGTGTGTGCGTGGGTGTATGGGCTGTGCTGTCTCCCCCAACACATCCTCTCAGAGGAATAACATTTTCTCAACTTTTCTCTTCTTTTCCTGTCATAATTAGCATTCTGTTCTCAATTTGGCCGCTTAATTAGGTGTACATAACCTTGAATTTTCCAGTAATGGAAAACCGGAGGGCTGGCAAGATGAAGCCATCATCTTCAGTGATTAAGATACCTGAAAAAGTATTGTACACACTCGTCTGTATTCACATCATTACATGGTCAAATTAACATTTTTGTTCCACCTGTCTTAGACTCAGGGTAGCCTGGGCGTAGCTATAGAGATGCCTGTGAGTCGAAGCGACAGAGAGCCATCAGCGTAGAGACAGCGCCTGAGGGCCGCCACACTTACACTACAAAAACCACACCTAAATGGAAAGTGACAAGACATACAGAAAAAGTGTGTTTTTTCTCCTAGTTCTGTATGTATGTGTGGAGCTGGGGAGGAGATTTTAAATGGTAAAAGAGGAGACACAGAGGGGAAGGGGAACAGGTGGAACAAAGGGATGAAGCACGTGTCTGGCTGCGTTTCTCCCATTACAGGATATGGAGCTGGGATTTGAAGGGTGAGGCGGGAGGGGGTAATGGGTTGGCACGAAGTCCACAGTCAGGGTGCGTATGTGTGTCTCTGTTCTTAGGCACTGTGAGGTTATGCAAATGCTCCGTCAGGCGCAGGGCAAGGCTGAGTAGGTTACTGACGGGCCGTAGAGTACACAACATGTCCCCCCACTCAGGCAGGCAGACAGCCAGCAGAAACACTGACAGAGAACAGAGTGGGGGAGAGAGAGAAAGAGAGAGGGAGATAGAGAGAGACTATGGGAGAATACTAAAAGCCAAAACCATCACCATCCACCTTTACAAATCCTCGTCCTCCTCCCTTTCTCCACCTGGGTCGATTAAAGTGAGCGAAGAGAATCCTAAAGAGGCTTTTATGAGGCCTGCACCCATAACACTGAGTAACTTCAGCTCTGCTCTCTACGCTCACTGTTACCTGACACACATGCACACACACATACAGTAGGTACACACATCCTATAAGCAGCTGTAATTAATTTGGAGAATTAAAAAAAAAAACAAAGAAACAATGCTTTTCTTCATTCATTCATTCATTCATTCAAACCAACATTCATTGTTGGTTTTAACGTGTCATGTTTAAAGGTGTATTCATCAAGATGTACAGAAAAATGCTAAAAGTAATCGGATAAGTCATCAACAACTGTTAAAAAAGGAAATAAAATATACTAAAATAAGAGTTGCTCTAATTATAATTGACTTAAAATTTCCCAAAAATCGAATTTCTTATAAAACAAAAAGGTCAACCTTTTGCAGCTATGTATTTGTTTTACCAATCACAATAACTTTTCATGAAGGTAAACACAGTAAAAACCACTGAGAGCAGCTTAATTGTTTTTTTATCTGTTTGCACTGGTTTGTGTCCACATTCATACTGTGGTTTTTGGCCGCATGAATGTCAACAAGAGCCAATGTTAGTTCTGGATAAATAGCTAGGTCTGTAGATTTACAATCTACACGCCAGTATTTTCTAGTCATATATATGTAATCCACATATATCTGCAATTTTGAAGAAGTTTTTAATTTGATATAATGCATTTTCTCCATTATTTAGTAAAAATAATAGAATAAGACCTATAATATTTTGGAACATGAATTGAAAGCCTCAAGACTGGTCCACTTTGGAGAATGACTGACTCAACCTAAATATTGAACTTAAAATAAATATGGACTGAAAAATCTAAAAAATAAATCTAAAATGCTCTCTTAAACAAAATAGCTTGGTAATGGTAATTTTTTTTAAATCACAACAATATTAGTGAAACTAAGAATAAAAGTATCTGCAATGACACACACAGTGAAACAGAAACAGAAAGAAAATGAATACAAAGTATCATGTCTACTGTCTAAGGTCAAATATATACTAATTTTACCAAAAAGACAAAGTATACTGAACATATTTTTGGTTTGGGGGTTATCAACAATTACCCATACTCACTCAACTAGGAGTAAGAATAAATATTGCATTTTGTTTCTATTTTTTCCAGAGCTTTTACAGTTTGTAATACCAAGGATTTAACCTTTACCTGAATAGTATTTTTAATTAAGTCTGTAGTTTTTCTCTGTCAAACTGAGAAAGGAGCAGAACTCCTGAGGAGCCTGTGCTTTAAGGACTGACTTACCTTCATTAAAGGCATATTCAAACTCCTCAAGAGTTTTGGGGAATGTGAAAGGAGGTTCATCCTTCTTCATCAATTCATCTAGGTCTATTCTCGACAGCAAATCTGAGGAGACAGTAACAAAAGGAGGATCAAAAGGTGAGGAAATTTTATTATTTTTCATAGCTAATTTTATATACTCTAGTGGTAGTTTCATTCACAATATTATTATATTTCAGAACTTAACAAAGGTATCTCACTATTATTGTTAAATCTTCACTACTTTGTCAATTTATTGAGCACTGAAAGGAGATGCCATGCCTTAACACTTGGCTGAGAGCTTTTCATCATCCTCAAGTGGCACAAGAGAAAAGGTAGAAGAGAGGATATTTAAATATGAGCGAAAAATGTCTATTGACTTTTTTTTTTTTCCTGCAAATTCTCCTCAGGAAGAACCTGAGGGGGCCACATCACACAGACTGGTTTGCTAAAGGGGTTTGATGAGTATATTTGATTCAAGGTTAAGTGAGACACTTCCTGTTTCAACTGCTCCTGGAGTCAGCTTAGAGTTTAAATATTAACTAGTAAGTAACGCTACAAGTTCATGGGCAAAATTAAAAATTATCCATGTAGCTTTAAGAGAGTCTTATTATTTTATTTTTATTTTTTCACATTTACACCACAGAGACACATGGAACAGTCATTCTTGTTCCTCTAGGTTTAAACATAATTATGATGCTTTTGCTCCATGCAGAGAAAGAATAGACCAAATCAGCAGTAAAAGATTATGGTCTCCAAAGCTGCTTCGGGGGGTGCTCTGACCTCCAGAGATCCTCAAGAGATCTTCCCCTGGAGCTGTACATGTGAACACAAATGTTAACAAAAGCTGCTACAGAGATCCTCCAGAAAGCTGCCCAGTAAAATCTCTAGATAATGTCTTAAGCTCATGTGAGAACACAGCAGGAGAAACTGCAGAGGATGGAGGATCAACCGTGAGTGAATGATCCAGTGTCCTGCTGCCAGCACCCTTAAACCAGATGCAGCCCTGGATCATCAGGAGATACTTCCCCTCTGTCAGGGTCATGTCATGTCTACTCTGAAGGGAGACTTTTGAGAAACAATGAGAAACATATGTGTGTTTTATTTCATAGGTATTACTAACATTAAATTTAGCTCATAATATATGATATGGAAAAACATCTTAAGCTGTAAAACATAACTATAGATATAAATAAACTATGTTTTGTTTAAACAATGAATTATTTTTATTACACAAATAGCTGCATGTGTGTCCCTACTTAACTCGAAATTCATTGCAACAGTTTGCATTTAGAAGGAAGTTTTTCCAAGTTTCTACCACTATGCATAGCACCTGTTCTTTTTTGTTTTTTTCTTTTTTTTAAACACTGAAGTTGACAATTTTGTTTTATACATATTGCATTAATATAAAACAAGAATATTCTCCAGAATGACATCATATATAGTATATACATAACAATATTGAATAACGTTAGGATATAGGGGGAGCCTTTTAATTTCTGAAAATACTGGTTTAAATCCAGTCTGAACCAGTGTGACTGATGAAGACAAGAAAAAATAATAGAGCTTCATTGTAGAGATATCTGCAATTTGGATATATATGGGCTGAAAATGTGTTAAAAGTTGTAAAAGTAGGTTGAACTGGTTAAAAAGAATAATTGTAATTTTTCAGGTGAGGAGAAACACTCCTGAGCTTCAAATTATAGACACAAAGGCTGTTAACAGAGCCACATCAACAAGCATTTTACCTTTGAGTGCTGTTGTTTTCTCTTTGTCATCCTGGCCATCAACCTGGGCCATGGTGATCCACAATATGTACAGGGTGAGTGAGGTAGTGCAGAGGTGAGCAAGCATGAGTCTTCTGCTTCTGGAGATCACTAAGGTGCTGTCTGTCAAATTTGAGGACAGAATAGGTAAAAACTGAGTTGGTACAAAATATGGATTATTGAAAATTAATGTATAAGTTCTATAGTATATTTTAAGCTTTGCCAGAAGGCATGTACTGTATTTTACAGTTTTTTTGGTTCATAGCTGGTCTGTGCAGTAACCACACATCTGCTCAGATATAACACTTTTGAGAGTCTCCTGTCAGGACTGTGTAGCTGAAAAATCTACAGAAAATCTGTGATTCCATCAGGTCAGCTGAGGTCACTGCTAATTCCTCTAACCATACAAAAAGCAACACTAAAGGCAACATGTGTTCCAACCTGGAACCAAAGGGACTTTATCTAATGTAGTGACCAGTTAAATATATGCATGGCATGAGAAGTGTATGTTCGTTCTGCACATTTGTACTGTAATAACACTAAGCACAAGAAACTTAGAGCAACTTTTAGCACGTGCAACTACGTCGTCGACGAAATGATCGCGCAAACGCAACAAAGTTGCTGTTGAAATCAGGCTGCAGTCATTTGAAACAATCATCTGATAATCAACATAGTTTTAATTGTTTCGCTTATTTATAAACACTCTCGTAAACATACACAGCTCTGGACGTGTGTGTTCTCTAAAGGAAACCATACGTGTGTTTTACACTCGTTCCATCAAAACTAATCACGACTTTTCCGACAGAGGAAACCGAGCTTTAAGAAGATACATGCAGAAAGTTCTAATCCACTCACGCACCATCAGCACATTCGGCAATATCCACTGTCCAATGCTGAAGTTTCCTCTAAATGTATGTAAACAAGAGGAACAGGAAGGAGTCAGAGCCGAGCAGGAACCTGAGAGTTGGAAGCTTCCGGGTTACCGGGGCAACGGCCTGCATAAGAAATTTAAAGAGACAGTAGGACAAAAACAAGTGCTTCTTCAGCTGAGGCTGCTGTGACGGAAGATCATACAGGGGTTTCTGTGCTTTACTGCCCAGACATCCTTAAAAAATAGTGTAAAATATAAATTACAAAATATATAACTATTTATAACTAAAAACAGAAGCATTTTACGGTCTCATTCCACTAATCTGAGACTATAAGGAAATTGCATCTGAGCCTTTTATATACAAATAAGGACCACTTATTTATTCTCTGCATAGAATTATACATGCAACATATTACAGACAGAATTGAATTCCCATTTATATCTGTCAAATTGACAAATATTTGGCATTTTATGGTAAATATTACGCCATGATCAGGCAGTTTATATACCTGATATTTTACAATTAACAAATAAAAAATAAAAAAATAAAAATGTTTTTCTTCCTCAAAGAAGTAATTTGTGGATGGACATTACACTTTAAAAATTAAATGATAAACCCTGGATGCTTTGAAGAGTAATGTTTAATCAATGACTAAACAAAAAAAAAATTAAATGTTGCAATCTGTTATCAATAGATCACATTTGTAACTAATTTGGGGAAGGGAATATATATATATTTGTAAAAAAAAATTAAATTGAAAAAAAATCCTATACAATTAGCTACAATTACTATGCAGACCATATAATACAAAATGGGGCAGTGGTGGCCTAGTGAAACTCCACTGAGATGCACTGAGCATGGCATCGTCCTCAAGCACTGCTCCCCGGGCGCCGACCACGGCTGCCCACTGTTCACTTTGGTGATGGGTTAAATGCAGAGGGCAAATTTCGTTGTGCATGGTGTGCTGTGTCACAGTAAGTTTAAAATTGATTCAAACATTAATTGAAAAATTTTGGACAAATATACGTGCTTTGAAAAAAAGTCCAGTTTTCCTATTTTTCAACTAATTGAACTAATACTTTACTAAGTAAAATTTAAAAGCAGTTAAAGCCTCTATCTTAGTAGGTGACCGCTGATTCTATGCTAAAAGTGACCACCACCTGCCATACCACGTTCCCCTGGGCCATTTACCTGCTACATGCGTCATGCCATGTGCTGGTGATACACAGAAACAGCCTCCTGGTTAAACATAGGCTGGGTGTCCTACTTGGGGACAGCCTCTGGAAGTTAAAGCTGGTTCTCTGGGGAGCTGAGCTACCCTGTTTCCTCAAGCAAAGCACTGGAGAGATGCTGTGATGGCAGGCCCAAAAAAGAAACAGAGCTGACACACTATGGCATGGGCATCAACTAAGTTTGACAAGACAAAGGAGATGCTTTCAGCTCACATGGTGCAGTATGTGCGCTAGTGTGGAACTAAGCCAGTTGAGTCAAATTTTAAGTTGCTTTAAAATCTGACTTGTGTACAGCATATTTTATGAGGAAAAAGTCAGGCCGTGGCCTCGCTGTCAAAGAAGTTCAGGTTGTCTGGTATGCTACCAAAAAATGTGAATGATTATCTTATTACTCAGACAGTTAGAGGAAGGTGTGAAGGTGTGTAGGAAGGTGTGGGTTATATTATAGCAAAACATTACCCATCAAAAACATGTGGCACAATCTTAGGAGATGGTGTTGATGTAGATCCACAGAAGAACCTCTCTCTCTCCCACTAGTCATCTACACATCCTTGAGATCTGACATCATCCAATGATCCAAAGTAAGAAAATAATGCTCACTGAAACTAGAGATGAATGAGAAGACAGATAGAGGAAAGCCTAAAAAGAAAAACCACACACTGACAACCTGTTAATACAATGTAGGGACAGAGTCTGGAAGGTCTGACAAATCCCAGAGGAGTCTGGCTTCAGGGGCTTACTGGCAGAGTCAGTGTGAGGGATGCTCAATGCCCTGGGAATTGCTGAAGGAGTAAAAAAAAAAAAAAAGAAAAGAGGAAAACACAGGCTCACAGGCTGAAATAGGTGGTAAAGAATGTTCAAACGGGTTCTGGAACAGACAGGTGGATTTAAGTTCAAACGAGTTGAAGATGAGCAAGGCCAACCTTTCTACAGACACTTAGATTAGAGCAGATTGTGTCTGAAAAGCTTGTGGAAATAAGTAACCACCAGATAATTCCCTCTTCTGGTCAATAGCTACACTATAATAAATGTGAGCGAAGGAAAAATATCTGTAATTCCATTAACTATATTCAGTGGTTAATGGAATCTAATGATTAGACTAATTACTATTCCTCTTACTAATGACTTGAAGACTTTATACGCTGCTCCAACAAAATGTAAACATAACATCAAGGCTCACTTGAGGCTCTTATGATTAATGTGTTTTGAATTTATTTGCATATGCTGGAACTTTATACTAACTTTTAGGCCTTTAAAGATATTTGGTTGCACTGAGGCACAAGTCTGTCAGTTCACCTCAGCTGCAAAACTGCTATAAAACTGAGAGTCAACACAAAAATGAGGACATAAATCTTTCACTAACCGCATTGTGCAACCAGGACAGGGACACCACGAGGTTTGGAAGATTTGATAGTTGAGAAAAACATGTAATGTCTGAATATTGTCAACATGTTCTATCTCAAATAATTTGTGCCAAGGAGAAAAAAAAATCCACAATACCAAGAATAATGGAGATCAAATGTTTAGCATAATTCTCAGTGTGTCTCTTTTTACACTGGAAAACATGGTTTAAATCATGTCAATCTTGACTTACAAAATATTTAAACAACCACTAATGATAACAGTGGTTGTTGTTGTTGCTATTTTCATAAGTTTCAATGCAGAACAGGTATCACAATCAACAATGTCAAGTACAAATACTGTATATACATTTATTTTTATTATTAATATTACAGGACATTTTTCAAAACTATGTATACAAAAGGTAGTCACCATGAAAATATAATGTGGGCAATGAGTGATAATACATAATAAGAAATAAGTGTTAACCATTTATGGTCAGAACCGTCCGGGGGCCAGGACACCAACGTCTTCATTTAAATTTAAACACACCATTCATTTAAATACAGCATGTAAATACTCACAACGCTCCTCCTTGAACCGCAACCTCCCCTGATGAAGAAAATAATTAAATCAAAGAGGTTCACGTCGCCCAGATTGACTCTCTTCTACTCTGGAGTTACTCGCGGTGAGAGACGGCGTGCTGGCGTAAGCTTACTCATAGCTCCCCAGCTTGCCAGTCGTGTGTTGGAGTTCTCCCCACTGAGCGAGAGGGTCGCTTCCCTGCGCCTTCGGGTCAGGGACAGGTGCCTCACTGTTGTTTCAGCCGACAGGCCGAATAGCAGTGTAGAATACCCGTCCTTCTTGCAAACACTGGGAGGGGTACTGGACAGTGCTCCTCCTGGGGATTCCATCGTCCTGTTGGGGGACTTCAACACCCACATGGGCGGCGACAGTGACACCTGGGGGGTGATTGGGAAGAATGGCCCCCCCGATCTAAATCTGAGTGGTGTTTTGTTATTGGACTTCTGTGCTAGTCACAGTTTGTCCATAACAAACACCATGTTCAAGCATAAGGGTGTCCATCAGTGCATTTGGCACCAGGACACCCTAGGCCGGAGGTCAATGATCGACTTTGTAGTTGTGTCATCTGACATCTGGCCGTATGTATTGGACACTAGGGT